ATAAATTAAACTAAATTTTCTTCATCGATGTAGGGGCTGCTAACCAGAGAACTGCACTGCAGGGTGCAGAAGGTATGGGCAACCTTGGGCAACCAAAATATGATGTCAGTGAGCTGACATGGGCTTAGATTGGTCATTTAAGGTTAACTTGGGTTAAACTTAGGTCAACACGACTTCACCTGGTCGTCCAGGGTTTTCAAATCGAACACAGTTCCATCAAAATACAATAACCAAACCTAACAAAGCCTAGGGACCAGTCATTTAGTACAGCCAGTGGGTCAGATGTTTTTAATGCACTTACAGTAATGTACAAAAATTAATTACCCTCCCCTCCTCCCTGCCATATTTTGGATGACCCTGACAATGTACATCGTTTTCATGACCCTCCCTGAAACTTCCAAACGCAAAAGAATTTTGTATTTTATTATACACTGTCCACTTTTTCATAACCCTCCCCGATTATGTGTATCATTTTAGAGACTATCATATGTTTTAGTAACCAACCCCTGATTCCCTGAGACCCACCCAAGCCTATCATAAATCAGAGACCATATAGTCCCTGACAGTAGTGTGATTGAACTAAACTGCTCAAACATTACATAATAATCTGGAATGTGTACACCTCAAAGTCTAGGTCAAAACAAATATGAATTTCTTAAGTTAACGAAACTAAAGTCCTATTATAAAACTCCCTAATCACCTCAGTTAAATACCTAGCTTCCAATTTCCTGCTTCCCAGAAGTTACTTCCCTTTCCTGGTGTGACGACACAACCTGTACCTGCACAGAGGTCATTTAGCCGTATATGGTCACCTGCATCAGTGTGGTTTGGAATACTGAGAAATTTCATGTTATTTTTAGGCCTCACATTTTTTATCTTCCGTTTCACAGGCCCTTTGCCCCTACTGAAAAACAGCTTAAAGCTGTCTTATTAAAATCAGGGCCCCGTTCGTCAAAGCAATCATAGCTCTAAGGTGATCATAGGTCCCATACTTTAACATAGACTTACGATCATTGTAGCACTAAGATCGCTTTGAGGAACGTGGCCCAGATCTTTAACTCTGTATATCTCTGTATGTGAAGATCTGAACAGACCTCCATAGGTCACTTCATGTGAACAGCCAATCAGCGTCAAGGCTTCTAAATTCTCAGTACAAGCAAGCTTAGCATTCATGAAGACACTTCTGATATCTGCATCTCAAAACCTATCTAATCAGGGAGTTGAAAGAAAAAAGTAAAGCCATGCTATTTTATTGTGGATATTTAATAAATTCTGTCATTTCTGAGCATCATGGCATCTACACCCTATCGAGCTGATGAAGAAATGAAGCCAATCATCTCAACAGCTGACATTGGCTCAAGAAACCATGCATCCTTCATTTTGATTGGATGGTCAAAGTAGACCGGGGTCACCTGACATGACATTCTATGGAGATGTCCTACGATCTTCACACAGAAATGTCATTTTACAGTACAAGATCCGATTTTAATGAGGTGAGGTAACGTGAAATGGGTTTAACATCGTGTACAAGAGTCCGATAGTCCGATTTATAGTGCTAGCCCACTGAGATATCATGCCACAGTGTAACATGAATACCCCACTCCGACACAGTATACGGACGCCAAGCCAACCAGTCCTTGTTTTAGCCCCTTAATGCCGAGCACCAGGCAGGGTAGCAACAAGTACCATCTTAGAACTTCTTTTGGTTGAACCCCAGACCTTCCGCTCTGCCACTAGACTACAGAGGCGGTCTGATTTTAATGAGACTGGTTGTATCATATATATCATGAACATATTTGTATCTCAGACGAAATCCTCAGCAAAATGGTAACCTTTTGTGTTCTTCTTGCACCAGCTTTCAAAAACAATACATACACAACAGCTGTTTCCTTAAAAATGTTTATTTTGATCAAGAAAACACATGATGTGGCTATGGGCAGTTATTGCACAGGAGACAGAAGGAAGCTGGGCCTAGAGGGCACAGAGGAGAGGGCTACACCTAACACCTGTCATAATTATGTGACTATACATCATCAGACATAATCCTCCGCTTCATCGATATACACAAATTAAAATCAGAAGCCAGACTCTGGTTTTAGGCCAGAATCATTCATACAACATTATGAATGTTGCTAAATCATATTGCTATTGAGATCAATATATACAAGCATGCATATACAAGTGGCAACTCTTTCATTTCCTGATACTGATTTGTAAGCAGTAACATTTCTTAAATTTTCCATTCTGATTTCAATGTTAGCATTAAACAATGGCCAAAAGAGGTTTCCTTTGCGGATAAACTTGAAATGTTACCCATATGATCTAAGATACATGTTCTACAATTACGCTTCCTCTGGCAAGCTAAGGCACTGCCTTAAGTATTCCATCTACCTACAGAAACACCACATTGATTTAACTTAAACTATCAACAATACATTCTAACTACTAATACAAGCCTAAACACAGACATAAGCATACTGTCACTAACATACAGACCCTAGGCAATGACACACTGTATATATACATATATGTATACCATCTACACGATAGTGGCATTACACATATGTATACCACAATGGCAACAATATATGTATGCCAGATATATATACTACTCAAAAGAAGTTAAAGGACACACAATTCTTTCAAAATACTATAGTTTATCTGTCATGTCATGACAGTAACTACAAAACATGAAAGAATCATGTTCTTTACTTCTTTTGATTAGTATACATACACCATCATAATAGTATATATATATATATATGTCGCATATATGTGTATGGTATATACCATATATAACATGGCTCCCATATATACATACCATATATATCCGTGACAATACACATATCTCATGGTGACATGGCATGCTAAGGTCTGTATCTTGATGACTAGGATTGTCAGAGAACTTTATCTTTCTTCAAAAGTCACATAATTATGACAATATGGGATTGTTCATTGTGCCACTGAGGACTAGGATAGGATTCAACAACTTAAACTGTAAGGTGTGTCTATCAAGACTGGACTAACAATTAGAAGTTTCAGGCTAAATACTGGGAACAATACAATTCTACACACATCAATATGTATTTACTGACTTTACATCAACTTAACAATTTCCTTCAAAAATAGGGACTTTTTCTATTTCAAATCATAATTTTCAAGATAAAACATGGAATGTCCCTCAAGACATTAGATGGGTAGTCTCCCCTTAATGGCTTCCATGAACAAATCATGTGTTTGTTCCTTCTGATCAAATCTAACTATAAAATAAATTTTTGCCAAATAATTCTTTACTTGTCTTCAAAAATAGAACTAAATCTTTTTATTTTAAGTAATCAGTTAAAATCTGTTAAATTAATGAATATTTACTCGTTTCTTATGGTGCACAGTCTTTCAGGAGCTTACCAATTAAGGGGAGACAACCTATCCACTCAAGATTTTGGAAACGTTTTATAACAGGTAACATGAGAAATGAGCGGAGATAAATGAGATGAATAACAGCGATGTTTACGTCAACTATGATGAGACTGATCATGGAGTTGAAAATGCAATGAAAAATGGAATCCTATGTACAGCATGACATAACATTATAAATGAGACTCAATGACTAGATAGGCTCATCAACCATGTATATATACTGAGAATAGTGTTTATCATGGACTAATATTGTCACAAATAAATACGACTATCCTGCTTGACAATTAAAGATATAAAAAAACATTTCCTTAAAACACTGATAATTGTCTGGACTGCTTTTTGTTGTCAAATCTCATTTTTTATCCTAAACATTAAAACTAAAATATTAATACTTTTATAAGTAACAAATTCATTTGCTAAAATCATAAAAACATGACAATCTGTGAAAACAATCAAAAAGTTTCAAACAAACAACATTATTTTTTATAAATTGGAATGAAATTTTATTTCGTCAGATGTAGTTCATGTGTTTCGTTCACAAATGGTTATTGCACAGGTAGACGTCTAGGATGTCGAGACAGGATAGAGACAGACTAGGACAGTAACACCTGGCATTTATGTACAGTTCAAGTCTAGTTCATCAGCAACTAAAATATACAATATGTGAGCATTACAGTGCTCCAGCCTCCTCGAGCTGTCCAAGTAACGTCTCCAAGGGAACCAAAGTTACTGGCTGGAGCATGCACAGAACAAGATGCTTCATGGTATCAAATTCATCATTTCACTTGTTTCCTCAGAATAGTGATATTTGTGATCTTTAAAGAATATAATGTGCACTGTACCCAGACACATCTACAATAGGATGATTTCTTCAAGTCAAAGTTTCAGTTTGCATAATAACGAAGCATCTTGTTCTGCATATCAACATAAAACGTCACAGTTAAAAATGTTTAAAATGGAATAGCAAGCATGCTAAAATAACAGCATGAAACAATAGTTTGATTGAAGACAAAAATGTACAACTCTTGGCTGCCTGGTTTCATGACCTAGCATTAAATGATATATAATTTACATAAAAAGATATGAAGAAATTGGATTTGAATACCTAGTGTAAAATAATGCACAATTTACACATAAGAACATGTAGATCTATACACGCAACTGTACAAGACACTGAACACAGGACTCCTCACTTTCTACAGGGGTAGAAACAGCTCATAACAAATTGGTCTGAACAAATTGGAAGGGTCAACTGAAAAATAAACCGGTTTCTCTAAACGTTTGTTCATTGCATCAATAGTGAATAAACAAAGCAAGGAAACTGAAGGAAAGGGGGTAATTTGAATTACCTAGCTACGATTATCAAATAGAAAGACTCCCATTTTGTTTTTTCTATGGTTTAATGGTTGAGGGTGTTGAGGAAGATTACATCTGTGGAGCAAGTTACTGATGAAGAGTGTGATGAACGACAAACTGAGGTGTGATACGATACATATTGCAATACAAAAGGTGTGATACGATGCGAATCAAATTCTTCAAAAATTAACTTTTGATGTCATGATCTTAATTTTTTCTACAAGGCAAAATGCACTTAGTTTTTAGAAAAAAATATTTTTTAAATTTTGGTTAATTCTTGTCTTAAAATTTTGGTTAATTCTTGTCTCAAAATTTTGGTTTAATGTTCTTGTCTTGTATCAACAAATTTGAAACAAAATAATATAACTCCTGTCTTCAGTATTGCTCCATACATCGCTCTACACCTTCCAGTTACCAGAATGGCCAGTGACAGTGTTGTCGTATCGTTACACCCAGATTAGTTGCGCTCTGTCCAGCGTGTTATGAGCAACCCCAGCACGAGAACTGGACAAGGTTCTACGGACTCCCTGTCAGATGAAAACCTGACAACGCTGGTCGGAATGCACACACATCCCAACACTCCACACGTGACAAGAAAAAGTTTATCACATGAAGATTTAACTCTTCAACAAAGAGTAGCAAACATCAAAATGGTGTTATTTGTAACGAGTGACTTTATACTTCACTGACTGACACAAGACGGGAACCAAAAAGGTTCAAAATGTTTGCTATAGTATAACACGGAACGACACATCACGTCAAAGCTGAGATATGATGGCTTGGTATGGGGGAATAACATTTTCATAGTCTGCCCAAAATCTCGTTTTGTAATTTCCCTTGTTCATGATTTTATAATACTGAACATAATGAAAGGTCATGAATATAAAGACTACACTCTTCCTTCGTTAGAATGCTACATGAAGGTTTTTAATTTGACGTTGCCATTTGCTTTCTGACAATTGACTAGAGAAGCTAGGCACATCATGTAACTTGACAGTAGACCCATAGCAACAGGCACTACCAGGACAATACACACACTGATATATTTACAGAAACACTAACACAAATAATATTAGGCAGTGGCCTAAACTATAAACAACACAATAACACAACTTAAACACAAGTATCAACAGAACAACAACATGAGTATTTTTGGTACATAGTTTCAACCTCCGGCTGAAATCTGGAAGATATAGGATTCAATACTGTAGACGAGTTGAATATCTCTTATATCTCATGGATTTCTCATGAATATCTCAAGGATATCTAGCATCTAGTATATATACTGCAATGAGAATGTAACAATCCTATGGCTGCAAATAGAATGAACGAAAATTCCATTTCCTGAGTTTTCATTCTTTGAATGAAATTCTCACAGGGAATTTATTACCAAATGTTGGAAAGTAAATCGTTCAGTCCCTCTTGGCTTTCCATAGAGGATTGCACATACAAGTAGTTAATCTCTATAGTGGATGACCGATCAGAAAACGTGGAAGAACACTAAGGGGATGAGTATTATACAGCATCCAGTCCCCAGCTACAGCACCAAGTGCATGGGGGCCAGCTACACACACACACACATCACACAGACTAGTTCTACTCTCTTTGTACAAAAATTTGGCATCCTGTGATACAATCTGGCTCATTTAGCTGCTGACTAGATCCTCATCTCAACAAAACATCAATTCTCAAACTTTATTACCAATAACGGCACATTATCATAACGACTTTGTGAAATTGTTATTATTGGATATATTGTTTGTTTGTTTAATAAATATACATTTACTAACTACAATCTTCTGTTGTTCATTTGCTTCTTATCATAAGCAGTTACAAAATACACAATGACTGTTATCTGCCTTTGAAGTATTGGGTTATTTGAACTTTCTTGGCTATGAACAAAATAATTCAATTTTCTTGTTATTGTTAGATTTAATGTTTAGGCTTAAAAAAAATATATAGAATGTGGTTCTCAGGCAATGGCTTTTGAAATTATTGTGTGGGCGGGCGGTGTTTTTTTGTTTTTTTTCAAGAAGTATGTAACCAAATTTTGTTTACAAAAATTTCAGGGAAATCATGTTGCTCTTAAGTATTGTAGCATTTAACTTTCGGGGTCATGTGCTCAAGATGCGGAATATTTAAAGATTTTTTAAATTTATATTTGAAAATGGAAACAAAAACGGAACGTGCGGCAGACTTCATGATGATGTGGGTGGTACCTGAGAACCAAAAACTATGAATTTTTTAGCCTTATACATTTGTTTTTTTAATGTTAGTCAAACAAATGTTAAATTTGATTACACATCTACTTTGAAGTTTGATATTTTGAAATCTTGTCAATTTGTTGATTCCTAACCAAACAGCTTTTGTAGCCTAAAATATTTAAAGAAACAGTCACATTGATACAATACATAACACAACACTTACAATACTTTGAAGAATCTTGTGATTCAGGATGAGTTTGGCAGATGCTGGCAAAATGGAAGACCGAAAACTGACAGTGGATTTAATTGTTATGTGGAAGATTAAGGAAGATTAATACTGTTGGCACTTGTTAGCACTGATATTAGCCAATATGATGGTGTAATCTTTTCATAAATACAGGGAAGACATCATTAATACTGATAATGGATGTGTAGACATATAGAAAAAAATTATTTTCATTATTATGCATCATATATAGCTGTATATTATATATATACTTTTTGTCATGTGATTGAGACATCACCTCCAATATTGCACTACAGAAACAAAACATTTGTAGCATACTGATCGCACAGTAGAGTATTGCTTATTTTGGCACATGGATAATACACAAGACAAATGAGACTACTTAAAAAACATGAGTGTTTAAAAGAAATAATACTTCTCTACAGCAGTCAAAACTTACTTCTGACCTATTGCACGCTTGGATATTAAGTATTTCTCCACAGGATTTAAGTACAAGGTGGCGCTCACTAAACTAAATTGCTATAAATACTCTATTGCAGTAATCATGTTATTATTCTATGATAGAACTGACATCTTTTTGATTTTTGTACATGTTCTTCATGTAACTATTGGCAATAGGTACATGTTTATATATACAACAAATACATAGACACAGGCATTCGACTTGCAGTCATTCAGGCATTGAGAACATCATTCATAAGCAGTTTGATTAAAACAAACGTGAGGTAATTTTTATTTACCACTCAGAATGTCAGTATATCAAAATTATTTTTTTTAAAATTAACAAAGAAAATTGTTGTTTAAGAGTAAATGGGGATTTGTTATTGAAACAAAATCTTGTAAAATAGGTATGCAAAACTGTGTAGCAATCAACATAGTTCTCATTCTGGCACTCGTGCAACATACAGTGACAGACACACACACCAATCATATACACTCAAACACTCATACACACACACTTAAGCACACACACTTAAGCAGACACACATAAGCAACCCACTCAAACACGCACGAGCACACACGCACGCACGCACGCACGCACGCACGCACGCACACACACACACACACACACACACACACACACACACACACACACACACACACACACACACACACACAGCCTCACATGAAAAGTGAACAGGCAGTCACACGTTCATTTGGAAGACAATAGAAGGTTGGCACATGATGTCGAATAGACATCTTTTGTTGGCCAAGCTTCGGAATAATACTGTCCGGTAAAGACATCGTTTCAGGCTTTACCCTGTACACGTTATAACATCACCTACATGCACCATGGTCAAGCAGATCACACTGATGACTGACAACTAACCAGCACTTCAAATATTATGCTACTGAGACAACTTCATAGTATTATGCAAATAAGGTGAATATCTTGGCAATAAAACTACATAACTCATAAAACAAAGGATATTAGATCCCTAAATTACCAACAACTATCTAATAAATAACAAAAGCTTATATGTAAATAAATATTTTCATGAGTTATCTCCCCTTGACCACAGCGCATACTGTAAATAACTTTAAGACTAGGACAATTTGGCACAAAACATCTTGTGACGCATACAAAGGGTAAAAACAGTTGGCACTGGCAAGACAATAAAGAATTGGCACAAGCATTTCTGATCGGTCATCCTAACTAGTAAGTCATGGAAGCTCTTTAAGATACACCTCTAACCCATAAATAACATCTTTTCTAATCTCTTAAATAGAAATAAATCTATGTCAGCAATAGCTGGCTTTAAAATATGGCAAATTGGCTTTGTGAGAAATGGGAAGCTTAGACAAGGCTGTTGACAAGAGTTGATGACATAACTGATGTCAACGCAGCCTTTAGAATACTGAATACATTGTTAAGTAGTCGCGCAGATGTGGCGCTTTTCTCTAGGACATTAGGAAATAAACGTTCAACTGGTGTATGTCCATCAAGTAATAAGTGTCACATACAACATTAACAACACAGCGATTCAGCTTCAACAGCAAGATGTCTTACAAAACTAGGCACCAACAAATGATATCCCTGGTTATGTTTGGTCCTAATGTCCTGGAGAGACCACGGACTATTACACATGAGACTTCAACACACATACGACTAACACATAAACACACCACAATATCAAAACCACATTGGATGAAAAAAAAAAAACGTGTAAGAAATCTGGTCCCATATGGAATTAAGTATAGGTTGCATGTAAAGCACTTGATCGTGGCTTGTAGAATAACAGGTACATCATCATTACTTACTGTAACATCAATGAGCACTTCATAGACGTTTGGTTAAATACCAAACAATACATGAAACTGTAATACTGTAACAACAAAGGAAATGTCCGATTGCATATCACTGACATTGCTATAATGCTCTCAATCCACTGCAGCAGTTTCATAGTTGCCTCCCCTGATTATGCCATTACGCAGTTACCTCCCCTTGTAAAAAATAATTGCAAATATTCTCTGCCAATATTCTTTTGACAAAATAGATGAAAACTAGCAACTATCATCTATGGCTCAATGACCATGGAATGGACAGTTTCCAAATGCGTGTCCTCGTCTGGAGTTACCTCCCTTTCAGATTCTGCTCATATTGCCTAATAGTTGCCATATCGCATGTGTGGCAGCAAGAACACTTGAAAGCTAGCTTCAGCAGACAGTTGCATGAAGACTGTCTCTACTGAGTTGTCTCCCTTAGTCCTCCTCCCCATCGTTGGGCTTGCAGTACTTGTATCGGTGATTCATATGTTGACTGAATGAGCCCGAATGACTGAAACGCTTGCCACATTTCTTGCACTGGAACGGCTTCTCACCACTGTGGAGACGCTTGTGCTCAGTCAGGTGATGCTTGTGCTTGAACGCCTTGCCACAAACCTCGCAGCAAAAGGGGCGGGCACCTGTTGGTAGTGGGAGAAACATGTTTAGAATGAGATCTCGAACAGCATTCGTCCTTCAGAGTGCATCAGCTAAAGTCTGAAGTTTATCATTTACTGCTGTCAAAGAATATCTTCGGATCATTTACTGCTGTCAAAGAATATCTTCGGAACAATTGATGTGAATACCTATGGGTGAAGTGAACTCTTGGATCAAGTATGAAAAATATAAGACTTAGGAATCTATTTTGATCAGAAATGGATGTTTTATGCATGCCCCTTGTTTTTCCTAAGGGACCGATACTACTCAGAAATGAGCAGTACATCCTTTTATCAAGGCCAGTTTGAAGTTTGTTTGTTTGTTTGTTTGTTTGTTGTTTAACGCTGCACTCAGCATTATTCCATGAAATGCATCAACCAAGTCAGCGAGCCTGACCACCCGATCTCGTTAGTCGCCTCCTACGACAAGCATAGGAGGCTTTTACGGCAAGTATGGGTTGCTGAAGACCTCTTCTACCCCAAATCTTCACGGGTCCTGAAGGTGTTAGGATTTGTACAAGATCTAAACACTCTGTACCACTTCAGTGGGATATATTACCGGAGTGATTACCCAAGTGTTTGTATTTACGTCATAACATTTTTTACCTCTTCAGTCTGTTATTGATACCAGAATGGTTACCCCGAGTGTTCATGTTTGTGCCATAACTCTCGTTACCTGTTCACAGCCTGTCACATCATCGGAGTGGGTATCTGAGTGTTCGAATTTGTGCCATAACTCTCGTTACCTGTTCACAGTCTGTTATATTTCGAGAGTGGGTATCTGAGTGTTTGTATTCGTGTCATAACACTCCATACCTATATTACGAGAGTGCTTACCTGAGTGTTTGTATTCGTGTCATAACACTCAGTACCTATATTACGAGAGTGCTTACCTGAGTGTTTGTATTCGTGTCATAACACTCAGTACCTATATTACGAGAGTGCCTACCTGAGTGTTTGTATTTGTGTCACAACACTCCATACCTATATTACGAGAGTGCTTACCTGAGTGTTTGTATTTGTGTCATAACACTCCGTACCTATATTAGAAGAGTGCTTACCTGAGTGTTCGTACTTGTGTCTGGCGAGAGAGCTCTGCTTGCTGAACATCTTGTCGCACTGGTCACAGGCATACATCCCGATGTCAACATCCATCTTGTGGTTCTTCCACGACTTGCGTTTCTTGCGCAGCGGTTCGTCATCGCCATTGAGAGAATCGTCAAGGTCAAGGTTAGCTTCCTCTGCTTCCACCTGCCATAAGAAACATGGCTGCTTGCACATGTTGGAAAACAGAAACAGAGTGTTAAGGGAGCGACACACAGCAATCAACACAACATGGGAAGTCAAACACAGTCAAACAAACAAGACGAGAAACTGGCACAAATTACACTCAACAATGTCTGACTATTTTCAATGTCATTTTTGTTAAAAAAACATGCAGTGATTCTCATTAATTTGGTAGTGGGCAAGACATTTAGTTTGAAATACTGGATACCTCCAGCTTTTATATAAACAACACAGTAATATATTATATTCAATTTTTTGGCAACAATAAAATTGTAGGGATGGGCACCAAAAACCTGGGGAATGATGGTCATTGAGCATTTGAGTATATATTTAAATCAACATTTGTGCCAGCTTAACAGGGCGACAGTTTTTGAAATCAAAATTGTATTTTCACATATATCTTTAAATATAATGCGTTCTCATTTTTTTTTTTAACATGTAAAATTTAAGTTCCAGTTACATTTGCTTGTCACCCTGTTTTTTATTAAGGACAGTTTCAATAACAAACTTCATCAACAAAACAAACAACTAGCAATGCACAATGTGGCTGAACAGTGAAGCTATTAGATGTTCGATGTAGCACATAAACACGGCAAACACAGCACAATAGACACTGCACTCAAACTGCTGAGCTAAAACTGCCGTGAAACGATATGACACAAATTATGCTGTATTAAGTGATGAGTTATGATGAACATTTGGTCACTGAATGCACAAAACTTCAACAATCACTTGAAAAACTAGCACTGATGTTAGCGTGAATGACATGACCAATCAGAAGTAAGTGTTGTACACGACACCCATCAAGCATGCCTGTACTCACAGTTGCAAGGACCATTTAGGAAAATATTGATGATTTCATTCTATAAAACTATTCATAACAGATTCATGTTGAATGTATTTAATATTTTCGTAATATCATGCAAATTTGTAAATTTGCAAAGCTGCTACATCATAATGCTAATTCTTAGAAGAGATTTTGAGGACCTATTATCATGGTTTCGACGGATAATTGGATAATTTACTAAAAATCAACCTCCTCAAAATAAGTTAATAGCAGCATATACCTTGAAAAGGCTCACCTGTCTCCAGGATTTTTTCCTTAGTCTTTTGGATTTTCCAAGGTGATCCGCAACAGTCAGTTCTCCTTCCATTCGAGCCAAAGACACATCTGCCAGGGTTCTCAAGTTGTGGTGGAAAAGTGCATCATTCTTAGAAGGGAGACAACTCCTGTCAAGTCCCCTCTCGTCTGCTTCGTCTATCACAAGTCGGCCATTGTCAGCTACGTCTGATTCTTCCTGACTGTCAGAACTGTCTGAAGAGGAATCTGAACTACAGCAATCCTGGTCCTCATGCAATGGGCTCTTCCTTTGTTCTCCCTCGCTGAATTCCCTCAATGCTGGGGAGGGACGAGATGCGGTCGGGGAAGAGGACTTCGACGGAATGGTTGGTACAGACCAGCCAGACAGGGTTGTTATTACTGAGCTGGTTGTTTTAGGAATCTCGGGTAACAGACTGTTCCGGAAGAGACCTTCTTGTTGCATGTATTTGAAGATAGCAGACTGGTGGAAACTTCCTTCCAGCCGGGTTGATGATGGGGGTGACGATGTGGGTGGTTTACAGTCTTTGGAAGGTTCTTCTTTAATGGTAGACTTGCAACTGAGGTTGAGAGCTTGGTCCTCACTGTATGAAGGTGTTGGGGAAGGAGTAGAGTTGCAGTGAGCTTTGGGAGGCTGACGCTTGACAGTGAGGTCAAGAGGCTGGTCCTGGTTGGATAGAGATGTCTGAGGTTTGTTGATAGTCGGTGGGAGGGAATGCGAAGTCAGCTGCCCATTGAGTTTCGGGGAGGGTGTTGAGGACTGACTGGCTGAAAGGGCACTTGCAAACGGCTGTGGAACAACTGGTATGTAGGCAGAGGCTGTTGTGGTTACAGGGAGTTCATCAGCAGCCTTGAAGCGAGCCATGTTGGGGAAGTAGGGAACATCTTTACCCTTTCTTCTGTCACGAGCTCGCATGTTCTGGAACCAGACTTGAACAACTCGCTTGGAGAAACCAATTTCATTGGCAATCTTGATGAGTTCTTGTTTGCCTGGTCTAGGATTTATTTGGTAATGTGCGCGAAGAAACTGAAGCTGCTGATCGCTGATGAGTGACCTCATTCTGTACTTCTTGTCTCCCTGGTTAGTCTCCTCCTTCCCATCCTCAGCCTCCTCCTCGTCCGTCCCTTCATCCCCAACACTCCCGTTCGGAGTGGGATGGCGGCTTGCATCGGACACAGTACTGTTGGGAGAGCTGCGAGAGGTTTCTAGGTGGGCCATCCGTAGGACAATATCTTTGTTCAGCTTGCATAGGTACCTCTCATGTTGGTGCAGCTCAACGGGACTCTTGAAACCAGTGCTGCAGAACCGACACATCATCTCCCCAATGCTGTTAGTCTTGTGTTCGAACTCTCCAGTAGTCTCACACTTGGCTGACTCATGAGGTGAGTTTGCTCGAGATCCTTTATTGGCTTCATCCGGTTCTTGTTTCACTTTAACTGTCTCTGGTCCCTCAACCTTCTTCTCGGAAGCAGCCAGATTGAGCAGCTGGGTATTGGAGTTGACATCCGGTGAGATCTGAGGAGCCCGGGACACAGGAGAAGTGCTGCATGGTGGGGGCTTTGGGCACTCAATGGTCGGAGGGCTGAGCTTGGGAGGAGGTAAAACATGGCCTGAAGGCTTGCCGTCAGGGTAGAGACTGTAGGCAACCATACCCAGAGGACGCACAGGAGAGCTGGTTAGGTTTGGGGAAAAGTAGCTGGGGAGTCCTGCATTACGTGGATCATACTTGAGGAACTGCTGTGGGTAGCTCCCGGGGGGAGGGGACTGGAGGGAGTCGTTGAACGTCTGTCCCGGGCTGCGGTAGTACATGACACCCTCATTGTTGCCGTTACGATCTACGCGTCTCCCCTTCATATTCATCACCCAGCATTTCTTAGATGTCATGTGACTGCTGTAGGATCCGGAATGACTGAAGCGTTTGCCACAGTTCGGGCATTCAAAGGGTTTCTCTCCACTGTGGATGCGAATGTGTTCCTTGAGATGGTGCTTGAATTTGAAGGCCTTGCCACATTCTGGACATTTGAACTTGCGGAGGTCAGTGCTCTCGTCATGGCTGATCATGTGACGCTGGAGCCGGTAAACATTGGCGAATGTCTTGTTGCAGACCTTGCAGTTCTGGGATGTTGGTGAGTGGAGTGCGATATGTTTGTCGAGCTGTGTCTTGAGCAGGAAGACCTCATCACACTTGGGACACTGATACTTGATCTCCTTGTCAGGGTGCTGTGTCTTCATGTGATCACGAAGCAGGGTGACACGCTGGTAGCTCTCACTGCAGTGGACACACTTGAGGGTGTACTCTTCCTCCACTGCATTCACAGCATCTAAAACACAAACCAACAATAAAGATTTTGTTAATTAACGAATAAATGTTCTCACAGAAACTGGGATAAATTTCAACAATGTACATAAGGAAATCCTACCAATGCTTACATTAAGAGATTGCGATAAATTTCAACAATATCCAAAAGGAAATCCTACCAATGCTTGTTGCGTGTTCCTCTTCCAGATCGCTCACTGGCTCGGGGAATATGACAACTGTGTCACTGCGACCCAGGAACTCCTTGATTGTGTCTGCCTCGTTTGATGTTGAATTATTGGTTTGAGGGGCCACTGGCTTTTTGTCGCTGATATCAAGTTTTTCTTCAGCTTCTTCAGTTGTACCTTCAAATAATTTCAAAAATAAACATCCATTCACAGAGAATTCACACAATTTAATTGTTTTCACTTATAGATTCAACAAGTTACACAATGACCCAAACCCATTCTTAAATTCCCAAACAAAACTGTAATACCAATTACCATGTGTCATCATTACAAAAGTTCACAAAATGTCGGACCAGAACTGATGATATTGCATGAAATGATTACTGTGGCTGCGTTATTGTTGTGAACAGTGTGGCTGGGCCTACCATTCTGTGTGGGGTGAGTGTCTGCTGCCTCCTCCTTCCGAGTCTCTGGTTCTGGCGATGTCTCATTCTCCACACCTGTCACCTCGCACTGGCTCTCCTTGACTGCGTTGTCATGGTTACCATTTGCTACTCCCGTGGAGGGGGTGTCCATCTTTTCCTCCACTGCCGTAGCGAGAGAGTCATCGATATGATCTTCATTTTCCACTGCAAATAAGAGAGGAAATTAGGTGATGGCCACTCACTGATTTCTTGACATCCATCAAACAGTCAAGCGTTTTCTACTTGGCTGATTATATATGTGCTCTGATCAATCGCTGGTAAAAGCATATCCCGAATCCCGCAAAATTTGTCAGTAAGTAAGCGATGCTTAATTTACCCATCTGAAGAAATCCAATATTCTATGGCCAAGCTTAGAAGAACAGTCTCGTGATTTGCCTCTGTGATTAATACTGAGATAACGGATGAGCAACTGATGTAAACAAATCCTAGATTACATGCTCCACCAGATCATCAGACTTGCATGACTGGAGAAAAAACTCTGCCTTTCCTTGGATAAATCAGCAGTATTGATTACCAGAATAGCAGGCTAGTTGGTGATATTCGGCACGGGAAATTAGCTCTTGCGAATCAATAACTAATACATTGATCAAAAGTCAGAATTTCATAACTCAGCGGCCACTTCATCAACCATACACTAACTGACAACCATGTGAACTTAAAGTTATGGATGATAAATCATAAAAAACGGTATACTACATTTTATCTACAGTTAATTTTAACATTCTCTTAAAATTCAAATTAAAAAAATTGTGTGAGCACCAAAACATTATTGAACGTGGGGTAAACTGTAAACTGCCAATTGCTTGCAGCTGCACTGTCCCCCCAGCTCATAAAATGTTATCTTCTGATAACAGAGTGCATTCCAATTAAACTCCACACTGAACAAACATGTGTTGTCAGTTTTCTCCTTCAAATGGGCAAAATCAGAGGATGGAATGTTAGACTTGCATCAGAAATGTCTATTGGACTTCTCAGAACATGTCACCCTTACAGCTGCAAGGAGATCATTTCGACCTCCGCATAACTTGATGACGAAATTCTATCACCTAAACAGGGACATCATAATCCCCGAAAACATCATCATAACACCTTAAATAATATCTATTAATACGAATGTATTTTTCACCAGGAAATATTTAAACAGTGGAAGGGGAATATTATCCACATTCTACCACCATCTGAATAGGTCTCGTATTCATTGGCTGTCAGGTCCTTGAATAATCTGTTCATAAATACAGGATGAAATGATTCACAGCCAGGGCAAAGAAATGAACAAAACTATTTCCCAACAACTACTGACAACACTTGATGAGAGTTACAAGCCTGAGGCAGAATAAAGTAACAGAGTTAAGCAAAGTCATGAGCACACACAGGACAAAAGTAGAAGGACCTAAGCTAGAAGTGATGTTTGAACAAATCTCAGCAGGGCACAAAAGGATCAAATTTGAAGTGCAAACTGCCATCTCATATATTTGGAGGCTACCTCTCAGAAGCTCATTCGAATTTCAGGATAAATAATAATTGGAGCTGCTATGATTTATCTGTCATAGAACACCTGGAAAAATACTACATAACCTCTTGACATGGAGTAGGTGCACTCAAATGTTTTGAAAAATGTTCGATTAAAATATTAATTACGCCTCCTTGTTGTAGGAACGTCGCTCCACTGTAGGAAGTGACTCTTTTGTATGAGGAATAATTAACAGGCTTGTAATTGTAGCCTTTCTGTTGACAATTTCTAATGAGCACAAACTAGTGAAGAGAAGCACCCTCCACAAACGTAGACTATTCAATGATGTGACAAATTGGAAACTGTGCTAACAGTGTGCATAAACACTCACATCCGAAAATCTCAGCCTTCTGACTCTGTAGATAAGGCGCTTGCACAAAGTAATCAGGAACAATTCAAGTGATTGACACAAAACACTATAATCTGTAGTTTTCTATCACACAATGACAGACGCCTGTCAAATTTGTAAGGGCCAATCATTATCGTTCTTTCATGCGTCAATACCTGCGTTGTTCACTGTCTCTGGTAAAAGACTCACATTATTTGCTTTTACACTGCCGTTACGGTGTCGTATACTCCTACTTCAGGGCCAAATAGCGGCAAAATGTTCTTGTCGATATGCTAGAATTCAATGCTTAATTAAAACGGTAAAGATCTTGTATCAAGGAGACAGAAAGGTTGATGAATGAGTCTCAGCAAAGGCCCATTTCCTGCTGACAATACAGCTCTTTTCACCTGTCCGATCTTAACAAGCCATCGGGAAGAAAACCTTGGGACGTCATTCAGCGTCACTCATGCATTAATTTGCATACAGTGTACCAGAGAACTACGACAACTCGCCTTCCGTTGAGACAACAACTACCAATCATTACATAGTAAAGCTATGGGGGGTCATCTCAATGACATCTTAATTGTGCAATCAACGCTAATTGTTAAAATTTCAAGTGGTATTTCAATCAATAAGTTTTCATATTCTTAAGCAAAAAACAATACTCTAGTCAGCGACTGTTGGCACTCTATAGCCTTTTCAGTCAGTTTTATAAAGTAATCAATTTTTATGATTCTCCCAAGTGAAGAGGATAAAAGGCGATATAGTGTAGGCAATTATAGTTTCTTGTCCTTGTAAACCTCCCAGATGGGGCGAAGTAGGGGAGGCCTCACGATCCAGCCATCTCCAGTTGTTATCTCATCTCAGCTACAATAATTATACACAGAATTTCATGCATTGAAACCAGATTGTGTTTCAAGGAAATGTTTCCTTCATTATGAGACAAAGGGTTGGGAAGATGGCTCTAATTAGGAAATATGGATGTTGGCACTAACTACTTATCAAGGGCTATGGTTTGCTTGGCATGTCACCAGCCTATGATATAACACACCTGTAAAATAACACACCTGTGATAAAACACCTGTAGCCACCTCCTGATAATTACTTTCACCTGTACAGTTTCACCTTGAAAACATAAATCAGCTCCGGCTAAATACTACAATCCCAATTAGTTTTTCAGTTAAAAGTGTAAGGATGTAAATTTTACCTGTAAAACTTAAATGCTTAATTTTTACTTAGATTGTTGAAAGGTTTATGTTAATTTTACCTGTAAAATTGTACATATCCTTTTACTTACTAATGTGAAATGATGAGTATTTATTGCTTAATAGTGTGTCAGCAATCTTACAACTATTCACTAAGATGATATTTGAAGATATTCTTTAAATTAAAACTATGACTTCATACAAAAAAACCAAAGGAATGAGAAAACAGGAAATTGAACCTGTGTGATAAAGACAGATTGAAAAATGCCTTGTATCGGTCACCTGCCAAATATAGGCAGCCAAAATAGGGGAACAAGAAATCTCCATATATCTATTGTCTGAGATGAAAACAATTAGTTTTGTAGTGTGTGATCCAAGTGGCGATTTCCTAGGTCATGTCAGCCAATGAGAACACACCTTGCACTTCCTGTCCCTCCTGTAAGCCATGCCACTAAGCAACGAGCCGCATGTGATTCACAAGTCGGGCAATACAGTCATATACTACATAGATGCTGTGCCTCCCATGATTCACCACTGTTTTATGTACGCATTAGGCAACAAGCGGGGCTCCCTCCTCATCAACAACTCCTAATATAATGGCAATCATCGCCAAACATTTTCAGTAATGATAGAAGAGAAGTGTCATTCCAAATTCACTAAATATGATGGAAGCTAAACATGGCTAATTATCAGGTATTAGTCATAGACACATGGTAAATGGCTTCATCACCATACAAAATGGCAACAACATCAATACTTGAAACACATTCACTTCTACCAAAAATATTTTCAACAAAATAACAAACGTAACTATATAATAGAAATAAAAAAAGTAATAAAATAAAATCGATCTTATCAGTGTTCATCATGAAAGACAGGGATGAAGCTGGAGGAATTACCTCCCTTAGACTGGGCGGGCCAGGGAGGAGGTCTATCCCAGGCTTCCATGTGTGCAGTGGGGCGTGATGGAGACCATCTGGGGGGAGGTCACAGACAAACAACTGTCTGCATGGTACCAGGTGACGCCCAGCCGGGAACACAGGTGATCAGATAGATTCACACCTCTGTGTAAACCATCCACAACACTTTCAATCAAACTTGTTATTTCCAGGAAGATTTTTTGTCAATTTTCAAAATTTCTATTTTAAAAGGACTAAGTGATCTATTGAGCTGGTTATGAAGACCATGTGAGATCAGAAATGTTACTATATGAGGTGGTGTTCCAGTAAATGCAAGGAAACATGACTTACCCGCTTCCATGGCAGACGAAATGAAACACTGGAAGAAGGTAGCTGTTACCCATAATACCTGACAGGTGACACGGTCGACTATTTTTAGGTGTTTCGTTTTACAAAACAAGGAAACAAAAAACTGAATAATAATATCAACTTTGTATTTCCTGTCGTTTTGTACTAATCAGGTAACAGAAACATCATAATCTGACAAGAAGGACGCTAGTAGATGTTGCTCAACTTGGGATCAGCGACAAGGTGAAAATATCTTAAAATTGTAACCACTGACAGATATGATTGTGCCAAAATAGCATCAACAAAATAAAATATTTTGAAAAATAACAACTGTTTAGTCATCAACTGTTGATTGCTGATTATCTCAACATGTGTGTAATGACAACTTTGTCTAAACCATTTGTTACACAAACAAAATAAACTCGGAACTACCATTCAAAAACATAAACAAACCAGTGTGACACATCAACACTGACAGTTAGAGGCAATGTCAGTCATCACTTAAAGGCCCTAAGTAATATTCATTTAATAATACATGAAGGTTAACAAAGATGAATGAAAAACTCACCAAAGGGAAAAAGTTTAAGTTCCTCAAACATGTCTTCAGGCAGTCCTATAGCCACAGCACATGAGGAGTCAGCTCCTACTCCGAACGAGTCACACGGCTCAAGTTGCATGCATACACCTTTACCTTCATACAAATACTCCTAGTACCGAGCACCTTGCCAGCCTCAAGGTAGACAACTCCTGTGTGTACACCGGCAGCCTCATCAAGCCCAGGTTTGTGATTTGCCAGCTGGCCCTGAGGAGCGAGCCAGTCAGAGACGGGAGTTATAGGAGCGTATCACACCCTG